TACTGTTTGGCGAGGAGACGGATCGGGAAAGGTATGAGAAGGTCCTTGAAGCATGTTCTTTGAAGAAGGACCTGGAAATTCTATCATTTGGTGATCAGACAGTCATAGGTGAGAGGGGAATCAATTTGAGTGGGGGACAGAAGCAGAGGATACAGATTGCACGCGCTCTATACCAAGATGCGGATATTTATCTATTTGATGATCCATTTAGTGCTGTGGATGCTCATACCAGCAGCCATCTCTTTAAGGTGACTACCTTTTATCCCTACTCCCAACTATTTGCCTTCTGTACATTGTTATTATTTGTTTTTTAATAAATTGTTTGACAACATAGATTTATAGTAAAAGGCTAGATTTTTTTGGGTCAAAATCTATACTAATATTGCAATATGCATACTAGATTCTTGTCCTTGAAAAGGCAACATGGTTTAAGGTCATTGTGTATCTTTGCCATATAAATTTCATCTGCTCTATTTCATTCTCAATTGTTTATTCTTTTCTTTAGATAATTATTTACTGAAGCCTTCTTCTAATCATTGTATCGCAGCAATGTTTATTGGGGCTTTTGGATTCAAAAACAGTGATTTTTGTTACTCATCAAGTAGAGTTCTTACCAGCTGCAGATCTCATCCTGGTGAGCTATTCATCTCTTGTTTCTTCCATTTCTTTGTGCTAGCAATTCACAACTCAAGGGATTAACTTTGTCATTAGGTCATGAAAGACGGAAGGATCACTCAACCCGGGAAATACAATGACATTCTCAATTCAGGGAGCGATTTTATGGAACTTGTTGTGCACATAAGGAAGCTTTATCAGCACTAGATTCCACGGTGGCTGAGTCATGCTCAGAAAAATTGACTATCAGCGAGGAAGACGGTGGTTTGGGGAGTGTTCAGAAGTCTGTCCAGAAAGAGGAAGCCCGACATGGTCAAAATGGTAAACCAGGTGATACAGCAGGACAAAAAGGACAGATTGTTCAAGAAGAAGAAAGAGAGAAAGGCAGAGTTGGACTTTCGATCTACTGGAAATACATAACAACAGCATACGGAGGAGCTCTCGTGCCCTTCGTTTTGTTGGCACAAATTTTATTTCAGGTGCTTCAAATAGGAAGCAACTATTGGATGGCTTGGGCAATGCCTGTGTTGAAGGACATGGAGGCTCCAGTTGGAGGTTCTACTCTCACGATCGTCTACATGACTTTGGCAATTGGAAGTTCTTTCTGTGTTTTGGCCAGATCTGTACATCTCGTAACGGCTGGGTACAAGACTGCCACTACACTCTTCAATAAAATGCATTTATGCATTTTTCGTGCTCCCATGTCGTTCTTTGACGCCACACCAGGTGGTCGAATCTTAAATAGAGTAAGTGTATCCATCTTGAGTAATACTATACAAATAAAAAATTCATTCATAATTTCCATTTATAATGAGGTGACTTATTATGAACCTTTCACTTCAAAAAAAAACATCATTAATAATGGCATTGTCACATCATTCTTGTGAAGTTTTTTGTATGAATTTTATATACGAATAGAGTTTTCCCTCCATCTTTTGATTGAATAGAGTGCGATTGGTGGTTTTGTGTGGTTAGATGACTTGGAATTCTAGTTGATCAATTTGTTTTCCTCTTGCAGGCATCAACAGATCAAAGTGCAGAGGATTTGAACATTCCGTTTCAAGTTGGGTCATTTGCCTTCTCAATGATACAGCTCCTTGGAATTATTGCAGTAATGTCGCAGGTTGCGTGGCAGGTCTTCATAATTTTTATTCCTTGATTGCAACCTGTGTTTGGTTACAGGTAGTTATCTATCTCAAGCACAGAGAATTGATCCATTTTGTCATAGTATAGTGTTCAATTTGGATATGAAAGCGTTGTCAATAAGATTGTCAGTCTTTTAATCTTGTGTGTTGGTCTGTTACTACAATCTCTAACTTCAGGGTTTTAAAGCTTTTGATTCATGTCTATCTTTGTTCCATACTATTTGAAATTTAATGGTTTTCTTTTATCTGTTTCCAAATTCTTTTTTTGTTGAGTTTTTAAGGTTCTTTTCTATATTATAACTATATTTACAAGAATGCTGCTTGGAATAAGGGGGAAAACAAGGTAGAGAAAATTAGTGGAAAGCATAAAAATTTCTGGATGTGTAATAGTTTTGTGATTTTATTTTACTAGATAATTCAAATTTTATTATTCCAATTTTCGGAGTTACACAAACACAAATGTCATATCCATGTAAGATTAATGAAAGTTCTAATTTATTGCAGCAATATTACATACCTTCAGCGCGAGAACTGGCACGATTAGTTGGAGTATGCAAAGCTCCAGTTATACAGCATTTTGCTGAAACCATCTCAGGATCAACAACCATTAGGAGCTTTGATCAGGAACCGAGATTCAAGGAGTTGAGTGTGAAACTGATAGATGCGCATTCTAGGCCGAAGTTCTACTCCGCTGCTGCAATGGAGTGGCTTTGCTTCTGGTTGGATGTGTTGTCTTCTATTACATTCGCTTTCTCTTTGGTTTTCTTGATCTCTATGCCTACAGGAGCAATTGATCCAAGTAAATTTATTCTCCCCCCGTCTTTATTGACTTCTTGATGTTGAACTGCTATTAAGAAATTCATTCAACTATTCAATTGATTCCAAAACAAGAATATATGAGAGAATTGATCCAAAAGAGAAAGATAAAAAAAATCAATAACATAGGAAGAATAACACCCTAATCTCACAATGGTCGCAACCTACTCAATATCTCATTAATCCAAAGCTAAATTAACATATTACATGATGGTCTATTTATAAGCATTCTAGAAACCCTAATTAAAAAGTTGCCAAAAAATAAAATATTGTCAAAAATTAATTGTTAAACCCTATTTTTGCAACCAACTCCTTTCCGTTCCCTATCACTATCCTTCTTTTGCACACCCCTGCAAGTGTTCGAAGTTTGATGACCAATTCATTTTTTGATTTATAGGTGTTGCGGGGTTAGCAGTGACATACGGGCTTAATCTGAACATGTTACAAGTATGGGTTATATGGAATCTTTGCAATCTGGAGAATAAAATCATATCTGTTGAAAGAATATTTCAATACACATCTATCCAAAGTGAGCCCCCGCTTGTGATAGAAGAAAATAGACCAGATAGTCAGTGGCCATCACATGGAGATGTTCACATCCAAGATCTACAGGTGAGGCCAATTTTCACTCTCCATATTAGCAAATGAGTTTCGTGTTTGTGGAGTTATTTTATACCGGATGCCTTGAACATGAATGTAGGTCCGATATGCCCCACACATGCCACTTGTGTTACGAGGCCTTACGTGTACTTTCCCTGGAGGAATGAAAACTGGAATTGTGGGGAGGACGGGCAGTGGTAAATCAACCCTCATACAGACACTTTTCCGCATTGTTGAACCTGCAGCTGGTCAGATTCTGATAGATGGTATCGTCATCTCCTCAATTGGGCTACATGATTTACGATCTAGATTAAGCATCATTCCTCAGGATCCGACCATGTTTGAGGGGACAGTGCGAAGCAACCTGGACCCACTTGAAGAGCACACAGATGAACAGATTTGGGAGGTGGGTTGTTTTCCTCTAAATGTTTTCGCTGTTTGGCACTAAGATAAAGGGAATTTTTTCTCTCCTGTATATTTGAATTCTTGTTTGGATTACATTGAAAGTATCTATTTCATTGCTTTAGGCTCTTGATAAGTGCCAACTTGGAGATGAAGTCAGGAACAAGGAAGGCAAGCTTGATTCAGCAGGTTTTTCATCCACTATCTTCTCACACTGTTATTATAAATTTAAAAATATATATATATTTAACTTATATGGCAGACAAGTTCTTACCTCCTAGTGTCGTATTTTTTGCAGTTACAGAGAATGGGGAGAATTGGAGCATGGGTCAGAGGCAGCTGGTTTGTCTCGGCCGGGTGCTACTCAAGAAGAGCAAGGTCTTGGTGCTTGATGAAGCTACGGCGTCAGTTGATACAGCGACTGACAATCTTATTCAGCAAACGCTTAAGCAACACTTCACGGATTGTACAGTGTTAACCATTGCACATAGGATAACATCTGTGGTTGATAGTGACATGGTTCTACTGTTAGATCACGGTTCGTATAAACCCTATCCATCTATCACTAAAAAAAGACTTGCTTTGAGATCTTCGTAATTTTTTACCATTCTTATTTTTGTTCTTTTGTTATGGTGCAGGACTTATTAAGGAATTTGATTCTCCAACAAAGTTGCTTGAAAATAAGTCATCCTCGTTCGCGAAGCTTGTTGCAGAGTACAGTACAAGGTCAAATTCTAATTTTGAAAAGTCGGCAAACAGTTGAAGGTCAGACCTTTATTGGGAACCATTAAACTCTGAGCTTCGATGATTGATGACAGAAAATACGCAGTGCTTAGCATCCCCGACGCATTTTGCACCAGAGGATTGAATATCCTTTTTTTATTTAATTGTTCTACTATTTTAGAAAAACTGGTCATGGAAAACCAAGCCATAGGTTAGTTCAATTCTATGCAGGATCTACTGCAATGATGTTCAAGTTTATGTAAAATTTTGGTAATGTAGTCTTATTTATGTATAATATGTTTGCAATAAAACCATTTCATGGTGGCCTTCTGTTTGAGAAAATAACATTACTCCCAATTATGAGTTGGGCATTTTAATCATTCAGCCATGAATGCTTAGTAGGGATCCTTGTACATCGTGCATAACCAAATTCCAATATTGATTTCATCTTGAATGATAAACATCTTTAACACACCATGTGTCATCTGTCAAAACAATTGAATCTTCCTTCTTTCTTTTTTTAAGGGGGAAATTACAAATTAGTGTAGCTTTCAAAAAAATAATTACAGATATATGCAAATTTTTATTATTTTAATTTATAAAGTTTTTCATCAATTTTAATTGTTTTTTTGAAACTCT